CATATATTTGTTAGAGATATGCTGGGAATTAATGTTCCGATCTCAGTATTTAATGGGGGCAGAATGAACTAAAAATAATACTGGTGTCCTACAGTAAATAATAATAACAACAACATCCGCCGCGGCCCTTGTTAACCCGCGCGACGACCGATATGGTATAGAATTTGTATTTGTTTCTTTCACCATATTGTATGGGTTGGCGGTTTTTTTAATGGAACCAGGTTGCCAACCTGACCCCAACCCTCCTCCTTTCTCATCCGGGCTTGGGACCGGCAATGGCGGAGTTGTTGTTGTTGTTGTTGTTGTTGTTATTATTATTTACTGTAGGACACCAGTATTATTTTTAGTTCATTCTGCCCCCATTAAATACTGAGATCGGAACATTAATTCCCAGCATATCTCTAACAAATATATGTATCTTTAATAAACAGCAAATAGTGTTAAAGTCATGCTGTCAGCTTTCAGACCAAATAAGGCATTTGTACAAGATAGCTAAAAATTTGATCTAATGTTCCAATTGTAGAATTGGGTCTCCAACTGCAAGGCAATTGTAAATAAAGTCCTCTTCTATCTATATTGACAGATTTTTCTTATGGTCCTTCTCAGTCTTTTATCACCTGCAAAAATGACACAGTTTAAGTTCAACGTGAAGTCATATTTTCAAAATAAAGCTACCACTTACCCTACTTTGATAAGGCAATTGTAGTAAATATATTATAACTGCTGGTTTGTATTAAAGACTTTAAATGCATTTTAAATGTGATAAGTATCTTCACGCAGGAACAGAACCTGCACTTAAGTGGTGAAACTCATGAGATATTAATTATAGTTATCTTTATTTCAGTAAAGCTCTTCAACCCATTAAGTGTGTACGTAATCTTTTTGTTACAGTGGGCTGAGGTTTTTGTTATTTGGCTATGGCAGCTACATCTTAAATATTTTTCACACTATTAATCTGGATTGAATTAGCCAACACAGTATAATCTAAAATTTAATTTTAGAATTTGTGATAGACATTCAGTGTGAGTTTTTGAATGGTCACTGAATGTTACAGTCTATCCTAAATTCTGCAATTAAGACTTAGATTATACTATGTAAAATTTGTAAAAATAAAACAGAATGACATACCTTCTAAGGCAGACCTGATCATTTTACAGCCCATGGGCCACATCCAGCCCATAGGCGATCCCAGTCTGGGACTTGGGGAACAGGGCATTGGGAGCATGGTATGGACATCGGGAGTGGGACATCAGTGCAGTATTGGAGGTGGGCAGCAGCAGCAGCGCTGTAGATAGGTGGGCAGGGCCTTCCACAGCAGTCCCAGATTGCCATGTAATCCCCTTGGGAAAATTAATTGCATACCCCTGTTCCAAAGGCATTTTTGGTAAGGGTTGAAGCTGGGGAGACTCTGATTCTCATGCAGAGAACATCAAGGTCAAGAAATGAATAGCCACACAAATGTTGGCATGAAAAAGTGAGAGTAGAGATCCATGTTTCAGACATATATAAAAGAAACAATCTCTCTGTGGTGCTAGATGAAATATATCTCTACGGCTTCCCAATTTTCTGCAGTAAAGTTTACTTCTTGAGTCAGCTCTGGAAAAATGGATTGGGAAGGGAATATCTTGCTATATTTATTGAATAATGCGACCATTTATGCCATTTACATTTTTGATAATGAATCCCTACATATCTATGTATTCTGTAACTGGATAAAGGCATAACTGTAGTAGAATATTCCAAATAATGTAGATTAATTTGCTCACCACTACTAGCCACATTGGTATTGAAGTTATTTGAGTGGTAGTTTGGGAGACAGTAAGAAACAATGTTTTTCTATACGGTGGATATACCTGATATTAATTATGACTTAGTGAAACTATATCTGGATTCGTAAGTGTTTATACAGCTTTTAGCAAAACAGTATGGTTTGATTCCCTCACTCTTAGGAGATTCCTATTTTCTAGAGGTATGCCTAACTATTACCTATTAGTATTTGCATTGTTCCACTCAGCAGCAATGTCTCTTTTATCCTTTGCTGATCAAGACCAAGAGAACCTCTGCTTAAACTAAATTCTCATTCAAGGCTGAGGCTTTAATAGTAGGAAGCAAATACTGAACTTTTAAAACCCAGTTGTGCATTCTGAATGTCTTTCTGATAGGTTTTGCTTCAGTGATAACATTACATACAATCCATATATTTTTTTTAAAAAAATTGTGAGATATCTCTGGATTTCTTATTCTTTGTGGGAAGTTATGTAGGCTTAAGTGGTGTGTTTAACAGTCCATTGCACATATTAAAAAAGAATGTCCCTGCTTTCAGAATCTTCAGAAACACACACACACACACACACACACACACACACACACACACACACACACAATAGTTTCAGCAATTGCATATGAAGTGTAATGTTCCTAAATTGTGTTTGACAATTCTAGACATCATGATCTATTAATGAAATTGCTGTGTAAATCCTCTTCTGAAGTAATTTGCTTTATCCCTCTTCAGAACGGGATGTTTATATGGCTGTACAACTGTACATTTATACAGAGTAGAACTACATTGTTTATAGCACTGGAGTTATGTTCATTTTCAGCCTCTCCAACAGACAAGAATAAAAAAATACTTTTTTTATGATTAACAGGGAAAAGCAAATTACTTCA